TGCACACCCACTCCGAGAAAAGTAAAAATTCACACCCGACCTTTGTTTTTTGTAAATAATTGATTCCTCTCTTGAATTCCTCATCAAAAGGGCTTTGGACCTTATAGTCCGCACCCCCTCGAAATGGGCCTTAAATTCAATTCAATGTAATTTCAATCAAAAAAAAAAAATCTTAAAATCCATCTGAATAAAGTTTACTTAAAATACAAATTAATACTTAAACCCACAAGATCTAAACAAATAGACTGTGTGCATTTCTGGATCTCTCTGTCTTGCCTTGTCGACTTCATCACCTCATCGTCTCCACCACCACCATTGGACAAGACGAACTACATCTTACCTCTGCCAATCTTCTTCATAGCTTCTGTCTCAAAAATTCTTTTAAATATTCCTGTTAATGTTACAGTCACAATTATGATCACTGCAGCAAAACATTCTCACATGCAGGGTTGAAGGGGAACTACTGTTCCCGAGCACCCCATTTGCGAAGAGCAAACTAAATTTCCGCTATGATTTTTTTTTTTCCCCTCTACAAATGCTGATGTCAACTCATTCCATAAGCCATTCACCCTGTCAGAAAAACAGTCTTAACTGGAGCTTGGCCAGTCTTTTTCCAAATGGCAAATAAAATTCATATTGAAGGTTACATTGTTGATTTGTAATGTTTGGTATAAAAAAAGATATGCAATTTGTAAAACAAGTTAGTGATTGTTTCTTGTGTATTTAAAATATCTCTCTTTTGATTTATAGATTCGGTTTGTAGTGAGTGATACTGAAGCTCACTGCCTCAACACGTGGTCCCAGCAAGGACAGAATCTTGGTTATGTATGAATTTTTTCATATGTTTGTAGTTGTTACAATGTTAATGTATTTTTGCAGTAAGAAAGGTTGAGTCCATAAGATTCACAAAAAAGTATCTCATATTCTTTTGTATATGTGTGTGTGAACATATTTTGAATATTCTTTGGCAATACTCTAGTTCTTTGCTAAATTAAACTTAAGCACAATAAGAGGCATCACGGTTGTCTCATTGACTAAACTTGAAAAAAAAGAAATAATAGTATAAACACTTTCAAAGCCAACTCTTATCATTTATTTATCAAGCTTTTGATTAAAATCCCTTAAATTTAATGCAGCTGCCACATCTGAAGGCAACCCATTCCAAAGGCCAACCACTCTTTACAAAAATATAATTGTCTTAGCTGAAGATGACTCGTATCTACTTTGCTCAAATTTATATTTGTGTCCCCTTGTCCAACCATTCTTACCATTTAGTTGAATAAAAGATGATGCATCAACATTATTAGGTCTCTAAACAATCCTAAACACCTCAGTCATATCCCCTCTAACTCTTCTTCTTTCAAGAGAAAACAATTTCAGAGATCGTATCTATCTTTGTATGAAAACATTTTCATCCTTTGAGCCCTCTTTTGAACCCTTTCCAATACTTCAACGTTTTCTTTTAGGAAAGGAGCCCAAGACAACATGATACTCCAAATTAGATGTAATCAGTGTCCTATGTACTGAAAGTATAACCACTTATATTCAATATTTCTGTAATTGCAACCTAAAATCCTTTTTGGCCAACCACTAGCAACAGCACACTGCTTGGATGACTTAAGAAACTGATCAACTAAATCACCAAGATCCTTTTGTTACATAACACTGTTAAGGTTATTCCCATCAGAATTAAGCTTATAACTGAAATTGTGTAATCCACATGCATTATTTTCCAATTATTATATTTAAAAGCCATCTGCAATTTATTTGGCCAACTTACTAAACGATCTAAATCCTTTTGAAAAGCAGAAGCATTCTCCTCATAGCTAGAAATATCTAAAACCTTAATATCAACAGCAAGTGTAAGACATTTATTGACCATTCCTTCATCTATGTCATTGATGTAAATCAAAAATAACAAAGGTCCTAATACTGAGCCCTGTGGTACCCCACTTGTGACATCAATTCAGTTTGATTAAATACTATTTATAACAACCATCTGCATTCTTCCATCTAGCCACTTTTCAAACCAACGTATCATCCACACCAATAATTTTGTTAACAAGCCTTTTATGTGGCACCTTCTCAAATGCTTTCTGAAAATCCAGGTACAACAAATCTACATAAGCAGTAACCTTTTCAAAGAATGTCAAAAGATTAATAATGCAAGATTTCCACTTAGTGAAACCATGTTGAGTATCAAACAAAATTTTAAACTTTGTTAAATGACTTTGCAAAACATTTTTTATCAGATTTTCAAAGACTTTCCCATAACTAGTGTAAAAGTAATGGCCTATATTTATTCAGACAATTTGTATCACTTCCAATGAAAAGAAGAATAACAATTGTCAGCTTCTAGTCATCTGGCAGCTGCCCACTGTTAAGAGACATATAAAAAAAAAGTAGTAGCAAGTAAGAAGTTCACATATCTTTCAAAACCCCTGGTCCTGGAGCCTAGCATTTTTTAAACTTTCCAATGTTTTCTTAACAGGCTCGTAATTAATGTGATCATCTTGTTCTGTTGTGTTTCTTTCTACCAATTTTTTTATTAAAAACTAAAGAAAAGGTAGAATTTAGTAACCCAGCCATGGGGAGTCATGCAAGTATAGTTTTACTCCAAATATGTGTAATATGGTTTTCTGTATCCTGATGATTTTGCTGAAAGCAATCATAACTTGAAGAATACATAATTTCAAACATGTTTTCCAATCTTTCAGTTAAATATATTTGAATTAGTGATATTTTACTAAGTAGTGACTTGAAATATTTGTCAATTACAAGCTTTCTTGTAGAGAAAGCATTAACCCGATCTAAAGGTTAATAAAATCTGATAATTTGCATTTTATGTGTTGTATGAAGTGTGTTATTCTTTAAATCTATTTTATTTCAGTATGTTTTTAAAGAATATCAACCACTAATTTATGTTATTTGTTTTAAATGATAGGTGTCTTGTAAGAGTGTTCATAAACACATTTTATCAAATTGTGGAGTAGGTTTGATTTTTTACAGTTTTACATTTCATATAAATGGTTAACTAAAAGTAATGAAGTAACTTTGTGTTTCCTTTTTTTTTTTTTCTCTTATAGACCTATTTTAAACCATGTGGATATCAAGCTATGTTTTCTATATACTTAACATTTTACAGAAATGGGTATGAATGCCATTGTATTAAAAGAGCTATTCCCATTGTCATTTTTATTTTTACATCTGGGTTTGAGTGTTGTCACTACTGTTATATATTAACTACACTGATATCAGTGCTAAAATGAACTTACTATTGAGTGTATGGTTTAGATTAACTGAAAATATTAGATTAAAAAAATTGTCAAGTTTTAACTTTAATATTAGATTTTACAAAAATGTTCTTTTGTCAATTCATAAGTTACGACCAACATGGATTATCATTGACGAGACTTGTCCATCACCAATTAAAAAAAACAATTTAAAGAAAAGATATTTTTACAACTTTCTGAACACAGTGACTGTTGTGAAATAGTAATTAACTGGCTGTATGTTGGAACCAGTTTCATAACCTTTTGGTATAATATTTTTGCAAACACGTAAAAGTTAAGGTGATTTACTCACATATTATGTGGTATTTAATTAATAAACGTAATACGCCATTTAAATAAAAATTAGTTATTATTTCAAAAACAAAGATATTCTGCTACATATAATTAATAAACGTAATACACCATTTAAATAAAATTAGTTATTATTTCAAAAACAAATATATTCTGCTACATACTTTGCCCCATATTTTTGGGCCATTGTCAGGCAGGATGAAAATAGGCAGAAAATGGTATAAAAACAACTTTTCAATAACACATGGTACATGTTAGTTTTAAATTAATGTTCTTACTTAAATGAAACAACAACAATATGTATGTGTACACACATACATTATACACAAGGCAAATATTTAACATAAATATAAGCAATATATAAAAATATAGCTTATATATGTATATACAATGTTAATCCATATACAGCTGGAGTACTGAAAATGCTGGACCTTCATCTTTATTTAGAGAAAACCTTCTGTGTTTAAGTATTTTCAGGTTGTCTTGCATTCAGTTCAGTGTATTATACATGAATATATTGGTGGTGCTTCATGTAAATAGAATGTTTATTTAAAATTGACATGCACCATTTGTTATTGGAATGTATTTATTTATATATATATATATACTGCTGTTTCATCTATTTTCACCTCCCAGTGGTAAGTCTGAAGGCATATAAAGCTAAAAACTGGGTTTTGATATCTGTGGTGGGTAGAATACAAATAACTCATTTGTGTAGCTTTGTGCATAACATCAAACACACTTGTCTATTTTTATTATGCCTGATGATGGCCCAAAGAAATGTGGCCAAAACATGTAGCGAAATATCTTTCTTTTTGCAATGATACATGTGGTTGAAATGGTGTATTATTTTTATTAATAGGAAAGAGTTAATATAAAATTCTAAATATATTCGGTTTAGTGAGGCCTGAAAAAAATAAAACAACAAAGCTTGAAAATATGCAAACTAAAATATATCTATGTACATATTTATTTATATGTGAGACTTAACCATTGAGACTTGTTCCTTAAAATTGACAATTATATTGAATTGTTTTCAATAATTACCACAGAAGTAGTTCTTTGAAATCACTTGAACGTTAGAGAAGGACCTTTCATTGAATAAGTACATAATTTTAGTATATTAAAATAAATATACAGAAGTTGTGTGGCTATATTAGATAATAACTGATAGTCTCAGAAAGAGAGTGAAATACTACTCTTTAAAACAATGTGAACAAGAATTATTAGCCTAATCAACTTAAATACTTGCCTATAATCATGCTGAACCAAGTTGAGCCTTCCTGTAGGCCTATCTTAAAATTCACAGCTTCTATGAAGTAAAAGCTGTATAGATATGTATATATATGCGTATACAAGACATTGAAAGTGTATCTATATGAATTCAGAAACTGTCATACTGTTTTTTGCAGTTACTGGAGGCTTTAGCTGATATTGGAGTTCCTAGCCAGCCCAGAAAGAAGGATGAGTGCAGCATTATGCATGGCTTGACTGCTGCGATCAAGGCACTGTGCGAGTGTAGTGAGGTACAGCATGAGAAAAGGACATCTCTCACAGAAAATGCTGGATCTGTAGTAAACCGAGGACGTGTGTTATGTATTTCCTCAGTCAAAAGGTAGGTGGGTTTAGTTTTATAAATTAAAGCATGTAAGTAAAAAAAAAAATTAACACTATTAAAGTGTAAAAATGCTGGGAGGGGTCAGTGAATCAATAAACTTGAGAATAACTACTTATCAAAAAACCAAATACATCTCTGAAAGGAGTGACATTAAATTTCATGTTTTGTTCTTTTTATTCTTCTAATATTAACTTGACTATTCCAGTTAACAATTTTCTAATATTAACTTGACTGTTCCAGTTAACAATTTTCTAATATTAACTTGACTGTTCCAGTTAACAGTTTTCTAATATTAACTTGACTGTCCCAGTTAACAATTTTCTAATATTAACTTAACTATTCCAGTTAACAGTTTTCTAATATTAACTTGACTATTCCAGTTAACAATTTTCTAATATTAACTTAACTATTTCAGTTAACAATCTTCTAATATTAACTTGACTGTTCCAGTTAACAGTTTTCTAATATTAACTTGACTGTCCCAGTTAACAATTTTCTAATATTAACTTGACTATTTCAGTTAACAATCTTCTAATATTAACTTGACTATTTCAGTTAACAATCTTCTGATATTAACTTGACTGTTCCAGTTAACAGTTTTCTAATATTAACTTGACTATTCCAGTTAGCAATTTTCTAATATTAACTTGACTATTCCAGTTAACAATCTTCTAATATTAACTTGACTATTCCAGTTAACAATCTTCTAATATTAACTTGACTATTCCAGTTAACAGTTTTCTAATATTAACTTGACTATTCCAGTTAACAATCTTCTAATATTAACTTGACTATTCCAGTTAACAGTTTTCTAATATTTAACTTGACTATTCCAGTTAACAGTTTTCTAATATTAACTTGACTATTCCAGTTAACAATCTTCTAATATTAACTTGACTATTCCAGTTAACAATTTTCCACCAAACATGCTCACCCTTTCAGCTATGGGGGGCATTATAATGTGTCGGTCAATCACACTATTCGTTGGTAAAAGAGTAGCCCAGGAGTTTGCGGTGGGTGGTGATGACTAGCTGCCTTCCCTCTAGTCTTGCACTGCTAAATTAGGGACAGCTAGTGCAGATAACCCTCTTGTAGGTTTGCACGAAATTCAAAACAAACAAACAAATAAACCCTTGTTTATCTCAATTTTGTGAACAGGATGTCACAAGATTAGATAGACGGATTTTGACAAACTTATACAACAGATATCGCATACATAGTTTTAGATCTGATAAACTTTTGAAGGTCAAGAATTAAAGATGAAGGTCAATCCAATTGGGAGACTTAAAAATACAGTATAGCATTAGTGGAAGCATAGGTGTTTCATAAACACAGCTTACACTTATGAGATATATTATTATTATTATTTCTGTTGAAGTATTAGTATGCAAATGTTGTTTGGTATATTTAACTTATAATGATACAGTGTTTTTAAATATGCTTAATTTTATGGCTTATGAAATGAAAATGTACATAAATGACCTAGGGTTAAAACTCGGATATCCTGGTTAATTTTCGTGTTAAATATTTGCTTTTTCTGTACATACTCTTCATGTACAAAAGTTAAATAATTCAATGTAATCTGATAAAGGTTGAACAATAAAACAAAACACTTATATAACAGGAATTTTGAAATCCTCTCTAAAGTGAGTAATGTATTTTTTTTACCAAAAATAGTGTCTTTCAATTAACTGAAGTTGTTGGCTTGTTTGAAATGTAAACTAGTAACATTTTACAATGATAAGCAGCCATGATAATGAGTAGTAGCTCACAAAATTAGCTTTAACTTTTGTATTTTGGAAAGAAACTAAATACTTCTCATACATATATTTACTAGGTTTTCTAACCTTATTTTATCAAAAGTTATTGAATAAGTGAAAAACAAATGGAGATTAATATCTTGTGAAAAAATTTTAAATTATGTTACCTTTAGAGACCAAAATTTGATTTCCAATTTTTTTTAATTTTATATAGTGAATCCCATGTGCGAACACTTGAAAAGTGTTTTCTTGAAGCTCTGAATGAGCACAACAAACTGGCAGCGGGATCAGACAAGTGAGTATAAACTTGATGCTAATAAACATTTTACCCCATTTTTAAATAATCACAACAAGATCAATCAACTAAGTAAAATTTGGATTCTTGTAATATCTTTTTTGTTTCTTTGTTAAAAAAAACAACTGTAAAGATATCAGAGAAGTCAGTGATTCCTTAGCACCTTAAATAAAGCTTTTCTGTAATTAAAATACGACTAGAAAAAAACAACAACAGGTATGTGCAAGCTTACTATTCTTAACAAATTTAACTAAGAATAAAAAGTACATATATATGATTAGTATTCTTAAAACTGAAGTTGTATTTAAACAAATACAAGTGGAATACATGAGTAAGTACATTCTTGTAGTATTTAAATCTTTGTTTTTAACTGAATACAACTGGAAAAAACACAAGAGCATGTTCATTACCCTTAAAAACATCTTTTTTTAAACAAATACAACTTAAAAAACAAGAGCATGTTCATTACCATTAAAAACATCTTTTTTTAAACAAATACAACTTAAAAACAAGCGCATGTTCATTACCATTAAAAACATCTTTTTTAAACAAATACAACTTAAAAACAAGAGCATGTGCATTACCCTTAAAAACATCTTTTTTAAACAAATACAACATAAAAACAAGAGCATGTTCAGTATTCTTAAAAACATCTTTAAACAAATACAACTTAAAAACCAAGAGCATGTTCATTATCCTTAAAAACATCTTTTTTAAACAAATACAACTTAAAAAACAAGAGCATGTTCAGTACTCTTATTAAAAACATTGCCTGGCCCCAGCCGGTGACACAGGTTTTTTTCACAGAGTTAATTAATCATGTTAGCCTATCATAGCTGTAATTATTATCTCTTTAGTAAACTGTTCAATGGAGGGTAACTTGTAAAGAGCCTCAGGTCGCATGTGAGTCACTTGAAGTTAAACATTGTTTAGTAAAATAAATATGATAGAAAATAAATAAATTAAGCTGATAATGTGAGTGGAACGTCACAAGGGGAAATTATAAATTTTATGTCATTGTCCTTTTCAGTATCATATTCTATTCACTCCAGTGACACTTCTGGGCTTGAATGGTTTAGGATTTGTCCACAAACTTTATTTACTTCTGCTCCATTTTTATGGATTTAGTGAAAAACAGTGTCTTTTCTGGTTCATCTTCATCTATCTCTTCAGGTATTTGGGCAGGAAGGACAGTATCACGTGCAGTCTGAATAGCAGAGCACCTGAAAAACTTAGAAATAATTGTTGTCTACTTTGCAACATTAGAGAAACAAGCCAGCATGTTGGTTTGTACGTATAGAACTTCTTGTCACAATGTGGTACATTATTCACTGGATGTTGCACACAAACATTATTTGCTAAATTTTGATTGGTCAGTATTCTGACCTTATAACTGCATAATAGGTGGTATCTTGTTAGTGTATTTAGTTTGTGTGTAATGACATGGTGTGATGATCAGAGATTGTCAGTGAAAATAACACACTATCTATGCATGTTGCTCAAGTGTAAACTTTTTCCATACTTCTGATCGGTAAGAAGCTATTTTAAGCACCTGGGCATAAGGGAAATTAGAAGTTTCGGGCATTGTTTGGATTTTTATCAGATGCTAATAATGCCAGAATTGTTTGCAGCCTGTTGTTTCTAATAAGATACCACTGGGAAAAACAAGAGTATGTTCATTACTCATAGAATTTGTGTTTGTAAACAAATACAACCAACCAAAATGTATACAATCGGTATTTTTAATACTTTAGCCTTATTAATGAAGAAACAACAAAATCAAACAAATGTTAGTAGTAATTAATTGTCTTTAAGTTTTTCTGAGTTGTAATAATGAGAATATTATGTAATTTATGTTAATCATCTTCATGGTATTATATGCAGCTTTTATGCCGTACAGTATAATCATAATTAATAAAAACTGACACAAATTTTGATCTGAAAATTGGTGAAATACGATGCATGAAGCTACAAGGTCTTTCATTATTTATTTTTTCAAGAATTCAAGAATTTTAATTATTTTCTTAGGAAAAATATTTTTTTCATACGAGTGATTTGATAATATATATCAGTACATAATAGACTTCATTGATTTATTTATATCTGTTTTTGATATTCTTCTAGTTTAATGCCAGTTCATCAGTGTGAATTTACCCTTATCCTCACCTTTCCAATTCCTACCTCTGAAGAATCAACAATTCATCCAATACAGAGGAGAGAGGTAAGACTTTTTTTTTCCATTTTGGAATACCTATATGTATAATGTATTTGATGAATAAATAGAAATTAACGTACACAAGAAGAGGTTGATATTACCTGCCACTAACTGATTTACAATATGAGCCAAATGTTTTACTTGTATTATATAATATGGACAGGAAAATTCATTTTGTGGCTTTATTTCTTGATTTAAGTCTACATTATAGCTTCTTGCTTTAAAAAAATTTGATTATTTTTATACTATAGTTTTTCAGAATCCAACTTTCAGAGAATTTATTATTGTATTTTTAAATTATTGGCCATTATTTTTTTAGCTTCTAATATCTTTTCAACAGTACTTACTCATGTCTCTAGCGTCATTATTATCAACTTCTCATCAAATCAAGTTACCTACGTGTTAAGAGCTAAATATTAACCCAGTATTAAATATAGCTTATTTGATATACCATTTGTGCTTATAATGATTAGAATACGTTCATTTATCAGTTGGGTAATCGTGCTGTTAGAGGTATTTTTGGACGAAATCCCAATGATATATCAAGATTTTAGGCCAGCATAGAAGATTTATGTTAGTTCTAAATCTATATACTAAGATAACAATGCAAAATAATTCTCATAATAAAGTTATATAATATTATAAAATAAAAAATATATCCGGAGGTATGTTGTATTAAAATCATTTTACTGTTTCATCTAATTACATCTCAGTAAACTTCATAACATTGATTAGTAATATTTTTAATTAATTTCATTTGATTCAAAGTGCTTTTTTTTACATTGTTGAATTATTTTAGCATGTTTCAGTGTAGAGTATATATAACTGTTGAATTAAAGATGGGTGTTTATGAAAGTTTTCGGGGAGCTTAATAATATACAAAAATAAAATCTGATGTTTCACCAACATTTACATACACTTACTCCTCCTAGTGGCCTAAACAGAAAACTGGACTTTGCACTTTTTTTGCACTGAGTAAATAATCAGCTGCAACTTAATATAAACAGAAAAACATTAAGTTAAATAGAAGCAACTAGGTACTAGTGTGGCTAGTCAAAACTTTTCAGTCTGTATATAGTAGTATCACATTCATTTTACCAGATCTTTCTTTTATACATATGTTTAAATGGTTTATTTTTCTTCCTTTCCAGCTTCCTCTTAATTTTCTTTTCCTTTTTGATTATTGTTATCTAGCATTTTTTATAAGTTTTACTACTAATAATGCGTTCTTCTTCAGCTCTCTCCAGTACTGACCACTGAAGTTTATATGTCGAAAGCTGGACGCTTCCTTGCAGCCACCCTGTGTTACCTTGTTCAGAGACATTTTAACCTAGCATCCACTACTGTGACAGGCATTCCTATGAAGGTAATACCAAGGACTTTACTTTAGACTGCCTCCTTGATTAATCATATTAGAAGACAGATTAAAAACACTTCAACTTAAATGAAGTAATAGTATATATGTCATTTGAATTAAAGTGTCATACTTGCCCATTAAGCAAATTTAGTTATTTTAGCATATTTGAATTCAGTTTTATTTTTCAAGAAGATTGACTTAATTTGGAAATGAATTTAATAAAACTAGCAGAAATATCCACCCTCCGGGCAGGTATAACTGCTAGTTCCTGCGGAAGGCTATTGGGCATGTGGCCTTTTCTGGAATTGTCTGACAGTTCTACAACAATGTACTCATACTTGACATTCAATAATGTTCACCATCCATGAGAAAAAGGATTTTATTGAAATTTTAGTTGAAAAATGAGCTATCATCACAGTATTACATCACAGAGTAGATTTTATTGAAGTATTTCTTTATAGATGCAGTTATAATGAAGGTGCCTTGCTTTTCTGTTGCAACACTCATGAGATTTTCACTAAAGAAAAACAAATAATTTTTTAAGTTTGTCTTTTGATTGTTTTGTATTTGAAATTTACTCTTTTTTTGTAATTTTTATTGGTTAAATCTGGAACTTAATTCCTTTTTGTTTGTAGTTTTTATTGGTTAAATCTGAAACATATCATTTTTCTGGAAATTTCAATCATTTTATTTATTGCTCAGCTATAAAAATACTGTCTAGTTATAAAAATATTACCCAGTT